AAAAATAGTCCAATCCGAGTCAAATCAAGCTAAGATTGTCATTAAACTACTCTTTGAAGTTTTTTGAAAATCTTTAGAAGGTCAAACGAATCTCGAATCTAGCAAGCCTATAGCGGAACTGAGCACCTCAGCAAAACAAATTCAGTGTGCCCAAGATTACTCAATTCCAACACATTAAGGCACTCAAATGTTCTGATCAAAGTGATTCATATTCTTGCATTAATTACACCTAGAAGTCTATAAATAAAGCCCCAACCCTCTCATGAGTGGAGGATGAGAGTTTGAGATTTGAATAAGAGCTTGAAGATTTGAAAAAGAGCTAAATTCTAGCACCACCACCATCAACTGTCGTCGACCATCACCGACCTCCGTCGACAACCATCAATCGTCATCGATTACCATTAATCTCCGTCAAACACCGTCGACCATCGTCGATCACCACCAATATCTGTCGACAATTGTCTAACACCATACATCACCTTCAACCACCATCGACCACCACCGACCATACACCGCCAATCGCTATTTCTTGCAGCCCGTTCCCAACAACAAATTTATCAGCACGTCGATGTTATAACTTGATAAATCTAATAAATCTTTCCCGCTAGTGGGACAAGTCGTTACAACTGTATTCATCTTTTTATAGTAAAACTCTTCAACTAGGTTAAACCCCGTGGTTTTTCTTTTTACAGACTTTTCATCTAAAAATTTATAGTGTCATTACTAGTTGTTTTCTTTTCTCTGAGTGTGTGTTGAATCTTCATATTACACTAAAATGATAATCTACTATTTTGCTACCGGCTACCGCGACTTGCCAGCACACATCACTTGAATTACTACAATTCAATAACCGTTAATAGTTGCTAATCTAAACATCAATGAGTATTCACACTAATTTGGTAGCAAGATGATGTAAATAATCTCATACGGGGGTATAAGCAAAGTTCTACTAAGAATGTAGGACTAAAGAAGGAAAAGAGAAAATTTGAAAAAAAATAAATATATAGATTGGGCATTTACATGCAAACCAACCAATTCATATGTATTTGCATAACTTAGATCTATACTATACTGTTTGATTTATGCCACTCATCTCACTTATATCATATTTTTTTAAAAGAATTAAGCATAAAAAATTAATATAGAAAGGATATTAATAGATATTATTATTTAACTATACAATTAATTGGAGTCAAAATGAGTCGAATAAATTAAAAAAAAAAACTTGTATTTGTATTTGACTTATTTATAAATCAAGCTAAAAAAATTCGTTCCCATTTAACTCTCTTGCTTAATAAAAAAATCGAATCTGAGCACTTTAACAAGTTGAACACGAATTATTTACGAACAATATTTTTTTTTTGACAGCCTTATGTGCTAAGAAATGTCATATATGAGATATAAGTGGGGTTTGACTTGAGTGTTTTTATGATTATATTGAATGTCCTTCGATCAAATTAATATTTGAAATTCACTTAATATGAATATGATGTCGCCATACTAAAAAAAAAATGAATGAGATAAAATATAGTTTCAGCTGCACAAAAAATTTTGGATTGAGTCATCATATTAAATAATTATAAATTAATAAATAACAGAACCCGTCATTTTTTAGGCAGATAAAAGAGTACTCAAATAAAAATATCAGAATAATTTTAAACATGATAAAGCAGAATTTTATTTTTTTTTTTAGAAATATTTTGTTCCCGAAACCTAAATTTAATTGGATGAACACTTCCAATAATTTTTCACGAATATCGATATATAATGCGAATCTCAAGACGACTTTTTTTAGCAAACATTGATAAAAAGTCGTCATGAAATTTTATTTTAGCAAAATTATAGTCAAATTGACCGGATCGACAAGAAGAACCCAATGTTATCAAAATTGATCAAATCCAGACCAAATGAAGCTCATATCATGTCATTATACCACTTTTGGAAGTTTTCTGGGCACATTTGAAAAATAAAATGAATGTCAATTCTAATGAGTCGATAGTCAAATCGAGCATCTTGACAAGATAAATCCAATGAGCCCAAAACCACTCAATTCCAACATCATTAAGACATTTAAATGTTCATCAAATTTCGTCATGTCTGATTAAAGTGATTCGCATTCATACATTAATTACACCCAGAACTCTATAAATAGAGTCTCACCCCTCTTCTGAGGGGAGATGAGAGCTTGAGAGTTGAGAAAGAACTTGAAACTTTGAAAAGAAACTAAGGTCCAGCACCACTCATGCCGCAGTCCACCACCGCCAACTGTCATTAACCACCACTACCATCGTCGACCACAGCCGACCGTCGTCGACCACCATCAATCTCAGTCGACCACCGATGACCACCGTCAATCTCAGTCGACCATCATTGATCACCGCCAACAATCATCGACCACCTCCGACCAGACGTTGTCAATCGCTATCGATTGTTGTTATTCTACAATGTAACTTGGGAACTTAGTAATCATTTCTCTTATGTGGGAACAGTGGTTATAATTGTAATCATCTTTTTTATAGTGGAACTCTTCAGTTGGGCTAGACATCGTGGTTTTTCCCATTTTGGGTTTTCCAAGTACAAACTTTTGGTGTCTCTAATAGACAAATTCTCTTATCTGAGTGTGTGTTGAATTTTTGTACTACGCTAAGACAATAATCTGTTACTCTATTGCCATGAGTTTTCTAGACGCATGAATTTGGCCTCGTATGTGGGAAACTTCAATCCCAACACTAAGTACTTGTAAGGCTTACTGCATGGTCATCATATGACAGTGGAACACCCTGCTCCAACACTTATCGTTCTAAAGAACAGTCACGAAGCCAAGGGCGACGTGCTTCTCCCTCATTTTTCTCATCCTTCTCCTCACTTGTCGTTCTTTCCCTCATCCATGACCTCTATTTATAGGCTTAAGAGGAGGCCTAACATTAAAGGCAATCATTAAAAAAAAAAATTGCATTATTTTGAGCCTTTGGCCCTCCATCCCTTGGTCTTCCATCTTCCTCATTCCAAATTTAAAAATAAAAAATAATTTTTTTTTAGGTATTACAAAAAAATTCTTCATACTCTTTTCTTTAATTCATATAAGTTAAACCCTATATAGTGTCCAACTCTGCGGTTCAAATTCCATCGATTCAGCTCCTGGACCGGTCCAAATCCCGTAAGCCACGGTTCAAATTCCCTGCACTGGTCCACCTACGGACTGCTCGCCTTCCAATCCTCCAAATTCCTGCAATCACATCCCGCTAGTCCAGCTCTCACTTTCATTTAAGCGGTCCGCTGTACCGGGCTGCAGTTGTATTTTCGCGACCCAACTAGTGGTCCGAAAAAAATATTACTTTTCATGTTTAGTAGAGGATTCGAATCCCAAAACTTGTTCAGAGAGCAAAATGAGGGCGCCAACTCGCCAACTGAGTTGAGCCCAACTCTCCAACTAAATATGTATGCATTTTATTATTTATATTTTTATGCACGATAAAAATATAAAGTGCTCCACATCTTGATAATTTTCTGGCAACGAGTTCGATTCCGCTCGAAAGTAAAGGGGCGACTGATACACCTCCAACAAATTTTCATCATCACACATGAGACATTACACGGATCTAGAGGCAACTTTTTGAGGAAAAAATATTCAAACATTGATAAAAAAACATCCAGAATTATGATTTCAACAAACTTATAGCCAATAACATCAATTTTTCTCAATTCCTCTCCAATAAGACCTCAACAACAATGTGGTAACACTCCCAATAATACCTAATTGAAGCCGCGCAAACCTCCCAAAAAAACCACTTAATACCACGGGCATGGGACCGCAATAATACCGCGATACAACCTGCAATAACTTCAACTTGACGTTGTTGTTGTGTAACCGTAATAATACCATGATATACCCCGTAATATTACTGCAATAAAACCCGTCAATACCGCCACAAACTCTTTAGTCTCCCTGCACCAATACTACCCTTGCCTGTAAGATCCAACTCAAATAACACCATGATACACTCTCAATAATATCGTGGTCTAGGTTCTAAGCCAATACAACCGCAATCCAACCTAAATAACACCAAGATTCAACCCGTAATAATACAACAATAACTCCCTCCAATCTCGTCGCAAACTCTTCAGCCATGTCGCGCCAACACTACTCTTGCCCGCATGATCCAACCCCAATAACGCCACAATACAACCCCCAATAGCACCACAACCTAAATAACACCAATTTACATCTGTCAATTTCAAGCCGAACACGAGCCGAACACGAACAAGAATATATTACTCGAGCCGAACTCGAACACATTGTTCACGAGTCATTTTGAACACGTGTCAAATTCAAACAAGTTGAACATGAGCCGAGCCTGAGCTGGGCTCGTTTACGGCCCTAATGTGACAACTGCTAACCGCCATCAAGCACTCTTTCATCGATCATCACTGACCGCCGTCGATCATCGCCAATCCCCAACGACCACCACATATCAGATGTCGTCGGTCAATATTGTAACTTGGGAAACTTAGTAACACTTTCTCGTCTTTGAGACAAGTGGTTGAGTCTGCAATCAACTTTTTATAGTGAAACTCTTCAGTTGGATCAGATCAATAATTTTTTTTTCTTTTTCAGGTTTTCCACGTAAAAATATCTGGTGTCATTATTAGTTCTTTTCTTTTTTCTGAGTATGTGTTGAATCTCGGTACCACACTAAGACGATAAAATATTACTTTATGTGAATTTTGTAACACACATCAATTTTTAAATTTTTTAATAAATTAATTAAGAAAATACATGAGAAGTAAAACATTTAGATTAATATTTAGATCCAAATTTCTCAATTAAATTTACTTTCTGTTTAAAATTATCCATTTTGTAAATCAAATGATTTAAATTTTAGATTACAAAGGATTCCGCCACCTCATAATCAGTTTTCTACCAATCCAATAGGCCCCATCGACTCCCCGCCTATAAATATCGATGCAGAGCCGAAAGAGCAGCCCGGCAATGGACTTAGTCATGGAAAATTTTCCGCCACTAATCTTCCCAGCCGGCAGCTCCGCCACTACCAACACCACCACCACCGCCGACGACGACATCAGCCTGCAAGAATGGCCGTCACCTCAACTCAACTGGTCCCCCGAAACTCTCCATCCTTACTTCGCCGCCGCACCTCACATGTCCTCCACCAACAGCTCCCCTGCCGAGAATCCCTCTTCTCCTATCACACCCCCCATTGATTCCGACAAAGATAGAAGATTTATTCACCTCCTCACGGCGGCCGCTGAGGCCCTCTCAGGGCACGTCGACGGCCGAGATCTCGCCCGAGTGATATTGGTTCGGCTCAAGGAGTTAATCTCAACTGACAACACCGCTTCCAGCTTCGAGCGCCTTTCAGCCCACTTTACCGACGCGCTGACCGCTCTCCTCGACGGCTTCAACGCCTCCCCTAACCGCGGAGAACCAAACCAGCTTCCACGCCACCTTTACCCTGCCACCGAAGTTCTCACTGCCTTCCAACTGCTTCAGGACATGTCTCCACTCGCCAGCTTTGGCCACCTCACCGCCAATCAGGCTATCCTCGAGGCTGTCTCCGGCGAGCGTCGCGTGCACATCATTGATTACGATATAGCAGAGGGAATACAGTGGGCGTCTCTCATCCAAGCGATGGCGTCGAGGTACGACGGCGCACCGACTCCTCATCTCAAGATCACGGCCGTAACTAACGGTAGACGGAGATCGGCTTCTGAAGCGAAGGAAGCAGGGCGAAGGCTCACCAACTTTGCGGCATCCGTCGGCCAGCCGTTCTCGTTCCGGTTATGCCGGCTGGGCCAACAGAAAAGGGTTCAGCCGGGGGGGGGTTAGGGGCCGGCTGGACCAACAAAAAAGGTTTCAGCCGGTGGCGGTTAAGGTGGTTAAAGGAGAGCCGTTAGTGGTCAACTGCGTGCTACACAGTGGGCAGAATGGCTACAGCCATGGCTCCGTTGCATCGGTTGGCTCCTTTCTGCTCAGCGCCGCAGAACTTGGAGCTCGGCTAGTGACTGTGATTGAAGAAGAAGTGGGGGGCGAATCAGTCGGAGAGGAGAAAGGCAGCTTTTTGCGGAGGTTTGTGGTTGAGTTGCAGAGGTATAAGGCGATATGGGAGTCGCTGGAAGACGGGTTTCCGAAACAGGGGAGAGTGAGGGAAATGGTGGAGAGGGTGATATTGGGACCGAGGATCTTCGCGGCAGTGAGGAGGGCATATGGAAGGAATGAGAGCGGGGTGCCAAGCGGGGAGTGGATGGCAGCGGTTGGATTCAAGAGGGTTGATTTGAGCTTCTTCAACCATTGTCAGGCTCGGTTGCTTCTTGGGTTTTTCAATGAGGGATACAGAGTCGAAGACGATGCGTCGAACAAGATCGTGCTGAGTTGGAAATCTCGCCGGCTGCTTTCGGCTTCCGTTTGGATTCCAACGCTTAGGTCGCCATCGCCGGCATTTTGAAAGTATATGTATGTAGTGTTCTGTTTGGATTTTGAACTCTTTCAGAGAAATTAGAGAGCTTTGGTTATTAGGAATGATAACTCCGGCGAACTGTTTCAAGATGGTTTTGTGCTGTCTGTATTGTTGTTAAACATGGATGAAGATGCGGAATTCAGGTTAGATTTTGTTAGTTTTCCATTGACTGAGTATGCTTTTTAATAAATTTTTCATACACTAATGCAGTTCTTAACGATGAATTATTTAAAAATCATATTAGTAAGACTATTCCTAAAGTAGCTCATAATAAAACTTGTTACAATAGAATTTATTTAAAAATGAAATAATCCTCAAATGGATTACATTCTTACTTATATAGAACTTTTTTTCTAGATAAATTTCTTAACATTTTACTCTATGATTGATTAACATTATGGGAAGCTTTCTCATATCCATTGGATTGCAAAAATGTTTCAATTTGGTTATGGACTACTTTGACAGATAGGGGATTGATAATCAACTTATAAGGATTCTTGAATAAAATATTAAATAATTTAATTGAAGAATATCATTTATCATTTTGGCTATTCTATAAATATTATCATACATGGTGTCATTTAGTTTATTACTAAGATGTTTGTATCCTTCTATAAGATCTCTATATTTTGCGGATCTACACAATTATCACACATTCTTCAATTTGTGGAATAACTAAAATCATAAATTGAATCATTTGGAAAAGATTTAAATATGCCTTGAAAATGTGTTTGTGTGTTTGTGAGAGAGAAATTAGCGGAGGAGTTTCATGCCATACTTAGGGTTTATTACACCATCTTGAGAAAACCAATAAAAAATGATTTACAATATAATTTTTTGGCCTAGAGGTTATTAATTCTATTGATGTCAATGTCTCAAGTACTAGAGTTCAAACTTTAAATATTAATAACAATAAAAAAAGTGTCGGTATCATCTCAATCTGATTTGAAAAAAAAAAAGTGTTGCAATCAAGCTCAAAATTGCTTTCTATCATTAATAATTCAGTAGCTTGTTATTATAATCTAATGATGAAATTGCAACCTATATTCAAGATTAAGTCAAACACAGTCTTAAGGCTCAAAATGATACTTTCATACCTTAATTTGAAAGGACCATATTTGGTGGATGCTATTGTCAAGCCAATAACATTTAAACTTAATGATCAAATAGGAAAATGTTACCTCAAACTTAGAAGGCAAAAAATCTCTTCAAATATTTTATTGATCTCATTTTTAATGAGGTCAACAAATTTTATTTATTTACTTGTTCTTAGATCCTAAGATCTAATCTCAAGGTCTCCTTAGTACTTCCCTAAAGAACTGGTTGATGATGGGACCCTAACTTAGAATTATACTTGTCTCTCATTTTCTTAGTTCAAGAAGAAATCAACTTGGTTCTTAACTCATGTTATTGAAATTGAGTTGATCATTTATTATATCATTAAGAGCAAGGGATTAAATTTCTTAAGCTCCATAATACCCTTAGGCTACACTTGAGACCTTGAACCTTGAACCTTAGGACTTAATCCAAAAACCTTTGGAGTCTTCTGAGGAGCCTTGAAACCTTCTTGACTCACTGTTTCAACTTTACTAGTTACAAATAAGCACATATAGAAAAAGCTAAATGAGATACCTTTATTTATTTGAATAGCCTTGCCCTAATAAAATCTTATCCTTCTTTTAAAATATATAAAAAAGTTAAAGTAAGCAAGTTAGTGGGTTATAGGAGACCTATAACTATAATTAATCCACTAAAAAAAGATGTATTCTAACATCCCTTACATTAAAAATAATAAACATGCGATGAGTAAGTTTATGGTAATACTTATACATGTATTATTTATAAAATGTAAATTACTACTAAAAAATATTGTTTAAAGGGCACATGTCATATAGGTTATGCTAAAAAAACTTTTATGTAATTGATATTATCATTCATAATATTATGAGGTATTTATCCTTAAATATGTATGATAACATCATTAGATGGCATAATAAAAGAAGCTCAATCAAATTCTTATCCCAGTTTAATATCTGTCATCCAATATCACTTTGACACCACTAACTTAAGCTTAAAAAAATCCACGGACTGTCATCTTGCAGAAAGTATATTCTTTCCATTAATTTGAATCATAATACATAATATTTATTACTTACACATATTTTATAGTATATATAACATAATTAGCATGTCAATTCATACTCAAAATTCATTACACCATTTTTTTATGCATATGAAATTGTATGAACAAAAAAAAAAAGTTAGGCTCATTATATTAACTGAAGTACTTATATTAACGTATAAATCATAAAAGATAAATAATAATACATACATGTAATGAGAATTTAACAAAATTTTTTAACAAAATCATATTACTTCAACTAAGACATATACCAAAGAAATAAAGACTATCCAATAGAAAAACAAAATGACAATGCCAACATCTATAGAATAATTTAAACATTAACATATTAAAATTAGTCAATAAGAGTCATTAAAACAATGAGATATCTTAATTTTTATAAAACACAATAAAATAAAATATACTAAATCACACAAAAAATAAAACCATTAAAATTATAAAATAAATTCAATAAATATTAAAATATGTCTTAGTCATTATAATAAAAATGGTTTACAAAACAAAAACCAAATATTTTCAAAAAAATCTACTTTACTTTCCAAGTGCTTACTTCTTAAATAGCTTCAATTGAACAAGAATCCTCATATTTTTCATGCGTATCATGCCCATGAAATTAAAAAAATATATATTTTAAAATAAAATGCAAAATGATCCACATTATGGAGAATATGATTTATAATGAATTTAGAAATTAGTTTGAATATCAAAGATAAAATTTATCTTATGAAATTTTAAGCTTTAACTAATCATTTATTAAAATTTTCAATTACTATAATTATTTGATATCATATTTTTCACATAACAAAAAAATCTTGCATAAAAAAAAAATTCCAAGGGCATATGTCAGTTAAGGCGGGCATTTAGTCCATCAGGTCAGAATGATGTGTGAAATAACTAAATCATATTATTTATGCCCAACATTTATAAAATTGAAGTGATCAAAATATTTTTAGAATCAAACTTATACGAGCAAAAATAAATTGAGCCAAAAGTACAGCTTTGTTAGTTTAGTTTAATTTTAATTGTATCAAAATACAATTAAATTTTATGATGAAGTTCATCATTCTTAGCTTAAATAACCATGTGAAAATGATTGAAGCAGTATATATATATATATATAAATATTGTTGGCCGGATATTTATTATTTTGATTTTTTGTTTAGAAAAAGTGATTTTAGATTTAATATATATATATATATATATATATCCATTCTTACAATTTAGTATGTAAGACTTATAATCCCACTTAAATCACCGGCATCACAATAAAAAATATTTTGACAGAATCAATTCTTATCATTACAAAAATAAATGAATGTCATGGTTTTTTTTTTATTTTTCATGTATGACTGCGTACTTTATTAATTGTATTAAGTTATTGCAGATCCTTTACATATCATAAATTACTGCAATTCTTATATTAATTTATAACATTTTTTTATTAAGTTTGTCTAAGAAAAAGAAATTCTTTAAGTGCAATTTCATTGCGAGTCCATATGTCCATTGAGCAGTAGAGAAAAGGACAAATTCATTTAACTTTAGTGAGGTTGGGAGGGCGGAGGGAGGAGATGACAGGAAATACTGTTGGTATATAATCCATGCTGACGGCCAAATGGATCGTAGGAAGTTGATCAACTATTCCTGCCGTCCGACAGGTTGCGCCTGCAAAATGTAGGCATCGAGAAATATTTTTTAGTCGTGGCAGAAGATTGGGATGATTGAATGATTATTTAGCGTCGATTTTTTATGTAAAAAATCCTTAAAATGGAGAAAAGAGTCATAGAGCATAGCTCGATTGAAATAATGAGTACAGAAGTTCACAGTTCTCATAAATTAGAGGTGGATTAAAAATGTTTATGTGCAACAGATAGTTCATAAATAATAGTCGTAATATGCCGCAAAGGTTATAGTCGATCATTATGGAGTCAATAGTCTGTCCTGAATGTAATAGATTGTGGTTGTAGCTCCAACTTATTGTAAAGGTCATACTTGAATGTCATGACAGTTGTTGGTCACATTGAGTGTCGCTGGGCAGTAGAGGCTGGACCGGAGTTGGGGAGCTGCATATGTAGAGAGTCGCATAGGTCATAGTGAAGAGCTATAATAAATAAATAGACACACACACACACTCACACAAAATAGTCTGATCATTCTTGTTTACATCAAAAGTTAATGAACAAAAAATCATTATATATCACTGCTAATAGTTGGCCAATCTGCCTTCGAGAACACTGCAGTATGAAATCCAACAAACAGTAAAACAAGTGCTTGCTCAGTCATAGCTCAACCTAATTCGATCAGGCGATTGACACGCCTATCGATATATATATGTATATATATGTATGTTTATATATATATATATATAGATATATATATATGTATATATATTTATATATGTATATATATATATATATATA